TACCATATTGAAAAATATACTATTTTTGTATGATAATTATGGGTTTTGTATTTTATTTTAATAGAAGTTGATGTTGCTTTTGCAATTATCCATCAATTTTTTAAAATTAAACACTATCTACAGATTTGCATCGAAGCGTTTCTTATGATAGTGATTTTAATCACTGTCAGATTAAATCTATACTGGACCCTACTATGCAATGTCTCCACTATGCCGCGACCCCACTGTGCTACCGTTTTTTTTATTTTTTATTTATAGCCTATTTTATCATCACTTCATGGTGCTAAAATCCAGCAGAGTACCACCAAAACAAGCAATGTATTATTGCAAACTAAACCGTCTGGCCAAACTCTACAAAGAAGAATTGCTAAACCATTAGTTGGAAAATTATTATCAAATCCCAGAGGACAATTACCAGTGGATTCAGTCTTAGCTAATAGAAAATTACCTGGAGTTGCTCAAGGTTAGTTTTAAAACCAATTAGCATGTAATTAGTTCTTTCATCTTACTAAATGCATAATATATTTTTAATAATAATGTAAAATACAATTTAATTTAAATTTGTAGTTTTTTATATATTAATACAGATAAAAAAAATGTTTATTTTTTAGGTACTCCATTAAGAATTTCTGGGGTGCAAACATCTAAAGGTATACCACCACAATATACAGTTGTTACTGTTGCTCAGCCCAGACTTATGTCTGCAAACCAAATAACAATTGGACAGGTAGTCTTATAATGTTATACATTTTTTATATATTTAATTTTTGGATTTTCTTCTGTAGCAAACACCCACACGTTTAGCATCAATAAATGAACGTCTAAAATCTAGTATTGATTCAAATCAACCTCAAACTGTCCGTGTTGTTCAGTCACAATTAAGTGGAAAATCTTTATTAGTGACAAACAAAGTAAATGCAATATCTTTTTCCTTGCAGAAACATCTCTTAGATGAATAATAATAATTATTATTAAATAAATATATATTTAGCTTTATTATGTAAAATTTTTTTTATCTAAAATAAGGGTCAACTCACATCACCTATTACAAGCATTGCTACATCATCAAGTTTAGTAAATTCTAATGTAGCCAGTTCCACAGCGAATACATACACTGTACTACAGCAGGGATCTCAACAAATACTTGTTCCAGCTAGTTCCTTAAAGTCTATTCAAGGGCTTAAAGTAATACCTCTTACACAACATGGACTGAAAGGTAAAAATTGTTGCATTTTTGATAATAATTTAAAAACATTTGTTTAATTTTACTCTTTGTTTACATTGTATAAAGGGAGATCTCAAATGTTTGCTCGAATTGTAAATCCAGATAATGTAAGACCCGTTTTCATACAACAATCCTTAAATCAAGATACTGGACAAGGTTCCAGTGAACCAAATAGTTTAAATAAATGAGTTCCTTTTTTTTTTTTTATAAATAGCAGTAACAAAAATTTGTGATGATTTATAAGCTACTATCCTAATATTTAAGATGAACTATTGTCTATTTTGTATACATGCAGACCGATCGTTACCCTTATATATATATAAAATTTTATATTTATTTTCTTTTATTTGCTTTAATAAACTTTGTTGAAATAACCTTATAGTTATTTTTTATTATTTTGTATAAATAATTGTAATGATTTGTATGAATTTAAAATTTGATTACTTGTTTTTTTTCATAAGTTATTTAATTATACTTCCTTATAGAAGTTTTGTATTCTCTATTGATGATAATTTTTAACACTACATAGACAATAAATTTAATTTATCATCTTCTTTGTAATACTGAAGGTAGAACTTATTTGTATTCTTAATAAGTACAAAAAGATCTTGAAAATTTAAATCAATGAAGCAACTTAGGTGTGCTTAAAATTAAAATAGAAATATTCATCTCGTATAAATATTTTATTATTTCTTTCAATTTTGAAAAAATACATGTGTTTTAATTTAATTACAATTAAATTATTCTCTGCAAGATTTCTGGATATTACCAATACAAGTTTTATCATAATAAAGATGATATTTGCTATGAATGACTGCTATAGTATTATAAAATAATTCAACTACATTGTATAAATTGCAATCGACCTTCAATAAAAAAAATTATAAAATGTAACTATACAATTAAAAATAAAAATACCAAATTTATAGTAATTTTTCCTATTAATTTATTTTATTTTTTGTAAGGTGATAGCTTTCTGCATACAATTCAATTATTGAATTCATATAAAACTATATTCAAAGTGTTTAGTTAGTAAGGAAACAGGTCATTTGTTACAAACAATGAGAACTATAGAAATCAGTTTCCTTACTAATTGAACACTATATATTATGGTTATTATAAATTGATAAGGTAAATTTTTACTCTAGTAATAAATCAGTGATGAAATAAGATTACAATTGTGATGGTTGTGACAACTATAATTTTAGTCAATTGAAGACTTTTAGATATTCTTCTTCTTCTTCCTCGCCTTAATCCCAACTGCTTGGGGACGGCCACCCTTATCCTAAACTTCCACTTGACACGATCTCCCACATTAGCTGTCCTCATATCGTATTCAATAGCATCCCTCTATCTCTTTTTTGGTTTTCCTCCACCTCTTCTTCCTTCAACATTCATATCTATAACTGTTATTACAGCTTCAGATTCTTCTCTCCTCATAACATGACCAAACCATCTAAGTCTATTTTCTCTCATCTTATCCACGATTGACTACTTTCATGTCAACCGCCCAACACTCTGGACCATACATCATAGCTGGTCTCACTATACTCTTACAAAATTTACCTTTCTGACTCATTGGAATTCTTTTATCGCATAATACACCAGACGCTTTTCTCCACTTCAATCACCCGCACTTAATTCTGTGACTTACATCCTCGTCAATACCATCGATCTTTTGCACAACTGACCCTAAATACTTAAAACTCTCCACCTCTCCAATCACGTCCTCGCCTATTGTCACTGACCTTCTCATTTCACCTACCTCGTGTTCTCCTTTGTTAAATTCGTACTTTATATAATCTTTCTTACTTCTACTTATTCTTATACCCTTTTCTTCAAGAGCTCACCTGTTGTCCCCGCGTACATCCGAGATGGGACAATTCGCCTAAGTTTTGTTCAGGAGACCTCATACTATTTGACAAAAATTTTACTCCGGCTGTCGACCTGAAGCAACCTCATTAGTCGTCTCTTACGACTGGCAGAGGGGCCGTGGAAGTATTCTTATCCCCTATCCACAGGGAAGAAGACTTTTAGATATTTATTTTTAAATTAAGGTATAACCAAAAAATCTTCCCATAGCTTCTAGTCATGAGTATCTTTTCAAGTAGTAGGGATATTTTTTTTATGACAATATCCTGAGCATTCTTTTGATTAATGTCAATCTGGCTCATATTTGGGTACCAAGCATACAATTTCGTAACAGTATTTAAGAATCTAACATGGGGAGAGGTTTCTTGATTATTTTCATTACGTGGATATGTAATGAGGGTGAGTGCTGCTTGTACTGGTGTACGTATACTATGCTTGTGTTTCAAACCCAACAGGGTCGCGGAATGTTTTAAAATATACACCAGTATAAGCTGTAACCACCCGCACTACACACCTACTCTGTTAAAAAATATGCTTTTCCTTAAAGAAGACCATAGTTATTTAAAAGTATTTTTTACAACATCGTAGTTGTATTAAGAGTTATAAAAATTGTCAGTTACGTTTAAGACACTTTATATATTATTATTGTCTAAAATATAACTAACATTATTATACGTCTTGTTTTTTAATTTTAAAATTTATGTTATTGATTATTTTACATTAAAGGAATTTTTTATTTTAGTACATTTTTTCCCTGAAGTATATTTTTAATAAATTCATCTTAAAAGTAAGTAATGTATAGTTTTTTTAAATAACTTTTATTCTAAATTGGCGATAACCAAATACATTAAATCAAAATAAAAATGTCTACATATTTTTATCAAATTACAGGTGTTCTAAAACAATTGATGATTACTTGTTTTAATAACACAACAAACGTCTTGAATATACAAAAAATGTACACCTTTTTGGGTTAAAAATAAAGCAATATCTTAAAACATACTTAATTCTAATATGATCTATAATATATAATATTTTAATATATCAAAATAAAAACTTTAGATGCTATTATTAGGTATTATTTTATATTTATAGTTTAAATAATCCAATACTAGTAAAAATAAGTCATTTTTTAGTATAGGAGGAATAACATTTCGCCGTGTCTTCTTGATTTAAATAACTCAAATAATATGTAGTTCAATAATAAAATAAAAAAACAATAATAATTAACATTAATTTTTTTAATAATAAATTCTATTTTTAGTTCAATGATATGATAGAAAAAAAAATTTCAACAAATTTTATTCTTATAATAATTTTTAATTCTGTTCTTCTGTTATGGCATGTTAAAGTTCAGCGATTATTGACCAATTTTCTATAGATAACTCGCTGTTTACAGCAGTCATCATTTCATGTTATCATTTAAACAAGTTTTTATTGATAATTATTGTTATCATGTATGTCCTTAGCAATAACAAGAATAAATCTATAATAATTTATGGCATATTAAAATAGACTATTGTTACTTTTGATATTATAAGAACCACCTTAAAGATGAATTTAAATATTGAACCAAATCTTTAAATAATTTCAAATACAACTGTTGTCGGATAAAAATAATTATAAGAAAGAAACTTATTTTGTATTATATCACCATACTAATTATAGGGGTTTACATTAAAAAATTGAAGTTTATTATTTTTTTATTTTATTATTTAACCACATACGATTATTTCAGTTTTTTGAATCAAACAATATTTTCCTTTATAAAAATTAAAAATATTCAGTATTTCTGAGTAATCGAGCATCGTATCCTTAGATTATTACTCTATGTCAATCTCATTCATTTATAGATTTCTTATTACAAAATAAATAATAATAACTTCAATCTTAGCTTCGATGTGAAACTGAGAAGGTATTACATTTACTATAAAGTGTTTTCTTTATTTTTTCATTTTATTTTATTTTTTGTATCTATTACTATTTTTTCTCAGCTCTCATTAAACCGATTTCTTTCAATGAAACGTCATAAGATCACAAATTGTATTTAGTCGATCATATTATCCTTAAAAATTGAAACAATATCCCTCGTTCCCAGTAAATGGGAGAAATCTCCAGAAATTACAAATTAAAAAACTCAGCACAGGGGGTCGCGTCACAGTGGTGACGTGGCATAGTTCAATCAAGTATAATGATATATGACTGTGATTAAAATCACTATAAAAAAAAAACGCAAATCTTTAGATAGTGTTTAATTTTAAAAAATNAAACGCTTCGATGCAAATCTTTAGATAGTGTTTAATTTTAAAAAATTGGTGGATTATTCCAAAAGCTACATGATCTGCTAGTTCCTTATTAATATCCTGATTAAGATAAAGTGTGTCGAATGAAAAAGAGATATAAATATTATTTCTCATAAAAAAATTATGTTGATCCATACACTTTTCAATATATTATAGCATTATAAAGTTAAAAATGTAAATAAGAAAAACGAGAATTTTCACACAAATATAGAATTCGGTAGCCATTTTCACCATGAAGACCAAATAAAGTCCGAATTTTTTTTTTGCATAATAAAGTAAATTACATTAGCTTTAATTTAAGATATATATAAAAGTGTCAGACTTTCCGGAACACTTTCAAAATTTAAGTTGAAAAAGTAAATTTTTTTAGAAAAAGTTGTTATTTTAAATCCCCCCTGTGGGCAGGTAAAAAGTCAGATTTATAAAAAAAATATACCAAATGATAGGTAAAAACATCATGCATCTATAAAAAAAAGAATTATATTGATCCATACATCTTTCAAAAAGTTATAGCATTATAAAGTTAAAAATATAAAAAAGAATTTTTTTACAAAAATCGTATTTTTTTTATTAAGTTTAATGTCTGTTTTCATCATGAAGATAAAATAAAGTCCGAAATTTTTTTTTACCATTATAAAGTATATTACATTAGCTTTAATTTAAGATATATATAAAAGTGTCAGACCTTCCGGAACACTTTCAAAAGTTAAGTTGAAAAAGTTCTACTTTCTATATGCATTTTTATGTTTTGAATCCCCCCTGTATTTAGGGAAATGGTCCGATTTAAAAAAACAGTATGTCGAATGAAAGATCTATATAAATACTACTTCTCATAAAAAAATTGTAATGATTCATACATTTTTCAAAAAGTTATAGCATAATAAAGTTAAAAATGGAAAATACAAAATCGAAAATTTTCACACAAAAATAGCATTCGGTAGCCATTTTCACCATGAAGATAAGATAAAGTCCGAAATTTTTTTTTTTCATGATAAAGCATATTACATTAGCTTTAATTTAAGATATATATAAAAGTGTCAGACCTTCCGGAACATTTTCAAAATTTAAGTTAAAAAAATTAATTTTTTGTGAAAAAGTTGTCATTTTGAATCCCCCCCTGTAGGCAGGTAAAAAGTCAGATTTATAAAAAAAATATACCAAATGATAGGTAAAAACATCATGCATCTACAAAAAAAAGAA